GCAACTATGTTTACTTTCGACGTGATAACAATGAATTCCTAAAGACCCTATTTTATTCGGTAAGTTAACTTATATTCGGGAAGTTTTGCAAATACCTACTTACATACATATGTATGAACAAATTTTTTTTATTTCCAAATAAACGACTGCAACACATTTTCACTTGCAGGTCTATAAAGTAATGCTTGAAGTGATATTCAAACTAATACCAACTGTGCTAATTGCCGGCTTGAATATGCGTATTATGTTGGTTTATCGAAAGACTTGTCAACGTAGGCGTGAAATGCTTATATCGCGCTCTCACTGCATGCGAGATGAGGATCCAAGAAAATTCGCCGAGGAACGACGACTATTCTTGTTGCTAGGTAAATCATCGACGTGTCACAACTTTTACGAATTTTAAATATTTTCAAGGGGTAATTCAAATTAGTCTGGAATTTTGGGAGAGCTTACACTTTCGTTAATTGTGCTTAAAGCCGCGAAAGCTCCTTGTTCTTAAGCATAATGCCCTGCAGTGATGGGCAAACAGTTGCTTGCTTGCAATGCTTTCTAAAGCTTTCAATAGATTTTTTATACAAACTTGTAAGATAAAAGCTCGCTCCGTCAATCACTGCTAACTTTTCAACTCTTTTTTCATCCGCAACGTTTCTATTTTCATTAACTTTTTTCCTTTTTTTCTACTTTCAGGCAGCACATCGATATTGTTCCTTGTTTGTGTTTCTCCAATGGCTATTGTACATATGACTATTGCCTCTGAAGTGCTGCCGAGCTTTTCTTTTCAGGTAGGTGTTAAACAATTGCAGCTACATGTGTACATCTATGTATATATTTATGTTGGATCATTAACAAAATTTAATTACTCCTCTTTTAGGTCTTTCGCGCGCTAGCTAATTTGATGGAGCTCGCAAATTACTCCATAACTTTTTACATTTATTGCCTTTTTAGTGAAGATTTCCGAAATACACTTATACGAACCATTAAATGGCCCTGGATGAGAACGAAATTATGTCATCATGTCGATGAGGTATGTCGGTGGGAAATTGGTAAACAAATTAGTTTAGGTGTAACATACTGCTTGTCCAATAAAATCATTACATAATCATATAATTTTCAGTTCTATTTATAAAAGCCCTACCAGGCCTTTTATATACATACATACATATCTACAACCTGTATATATAACACGCGAAAAGATTTTTTGTCCCGCACATCAGATTTGAACCGTTCGTGTGATTGTCAAAACTGGGGTGTCAAAGTTAGGGGTTTTGCCTCCAGATGTGCAAACCGGTTTTATTTTTTCTGTTAAGAAATTAAATTCAAGTTATTTAATAATCAATGCCATCATATCCGCACCTTTAGTGCGATTTTCAAAAATGAGGTGTCAGATTAAATGGCTGGGGCTGTGGATGTACCTTTTCGAAAAGAGTAGCCACCTTTTAAATAACTTAATTAAAATTAATTTAAATCAAAAGTAAAATCAATTAGTACAATATGGGTATCCATCTAAATGGTTTTGACAATGTTTTATTTCTTAACTACACGTAGGAGGGTTGCCACCTGTTTAAAAAATTAAATTCAAATTTAACTAAGGGAATTCGGTGTTAAATATATAGAAGGGTTGTCACGTGTTTAGAATACCAAGTTCAGCTGAGTTAATAATAATAAGTTAATTGAATAAAATACTTTTGAAGAAGGTTGACACTTCTTTGAAAATTATACACAAGTTATATGAAATATTAAAGTATGATTATCAAACGGAACGGGTCTAGATAAAATATGGTTCACAGATCGCTTATAACTCTGACAAACATTTGGAATACATTTTAGTTTTTTGAGGAGAATTGCCACCTATTTAAAAAGCTTGAATCAAATGAATTCTTAAATTCATTGAAATATGTATTACAATGTGGGTGTCAAAAGAAAGGGGTTTGAGAAGGTTTTGAAGTGAATATATTTTGAAGAGAGTTGCTACCTGTTTGAAAAGTCGATTTTAAATAAATTTCACAAGATATTTGAACTTAATAATAAAAGTAATAATAATAGTTTGGTCTCTACACAATATGTTAGTGTTTGGCCGAGCAGAAAGGAGAGGGATCTACAGTTTTATGGCCGACTGCTATTTCAAAACGCTTTTTTATTTTTTTATTCTGCGGTCGTTGGCAAGGTTCGCCAAGGCCGTTGATTGCGCGCGTTGGCTCCCTTTTGCCATCCAGCGCCGTCGAAGGCCATTTCCCCTCTGTCGACCGCGAGCATCAAATCCATTAGCCGAGCCTCTACAATCGTTATGGGCTACCTGTACATCCATGGAGGAATCGAAGGCCGATTTCGGTGCTTTCGTTTCCCTCTTAATCGTACCTTCCTGGGAGCATGCGGTTTCGGCTTTTGTGGCTATGGCAGCAGCAATGATCTCGTCCGTTTGCTCCATTTTGGGGCTTCCAGAGAGAGTTTTTCGCTTCGAACTTTGCAACGGCCTTCTTATACTTCCTTATCAGATCCTCGTCCCGCTTCGTAGGGACGTTGGATCTCTTTTCTCTAAGAAACGAAACCGATATCTTGCAGTCATGTTTGGCATTCTGAGATCGGCTTAGTTAGTTTTTAGTCTCCTTCCTCTGGTCCGCTGCTGCAGACGTGGAAGATCGCGGCGCTTCGCCGAACAGTTGCATCTCTACCTCGTAGCCAATATCATTGGCATTGCTTGCCTGTTACAACGAATCGTCGTCATCGGGGGCGTTGCCGATGGTAAGACTCCGAATCTGAGACCCATTGCCTCGATACTTGCCAGACTTCTTTTCTACGACTGCCTGCCTATCCAAAGTAGGCCTGGGGACAACCTCCGCTCCCTTCCAGTAGCATTCGTAGACTGCGCAGCCAGATATTGCAAAGTCTATGGCATTCAGAGATTTTTGAACCAGGTAGCATTATAGAAAATAACACATAGTTAGTAAGCTGACGAATTCGCAAGGAAGGGAACAAGTATTCATATCCCTCTGAAAAAGATGGTATATTAAAGGTCAATCTTAAAACAGTTTGCACATCGTCGCTTTTAAATTTAATCATTTGAAAAGAAACGTTCTTCCTTATAAGGAACCTTGCAAGGCAAATGCCATTAAACTAGAGAATAGCATTGCAACATTGGACTAAGTATTGTCGTTGCAGCAAGATCATAGAAGAAGAAAAAATGTACAATGCCTCTTACCCGAGTTAAAATACATTTTTTCGCCCAGACCTTGCAGAGGTGGTTTGTGTTTTGTGAGCGACTTTTAAAGTCGAAAGTGATCAGTAGATCTGAATATCTGATATCACAATGAGCTATATTGTGCCCCTATGTGCAGGGAGGATTTACTTTCCAAGCATTCAACCAGTGGGCCGGTCAGCCAGTATTGAATGCACATTGCCGCCATTGCCTTCTAAAGGCCACCGATATTAGAAAAGATATACGTAGGTATATCACTTTGTATGTACATATGTACTATTTATTTGGTTTGCACTTAAATATATTTTATGAAGCTTCATCTGTACTTCATAGATGATACTATTTTCTTGAAATAGGAGTATATTTGTGTACATTTACATATAGTATATATTATATATCTCAATTTTTTCACTTTTTTCTTACAGATATCCAACGCCAGAGCAACACCGTTAATAAATTTTGACAAAATAGCTCTGCGTAACCATCATATAACGACAACGTCTGGAGTTTGTACCGGTATGGGACGTTCGAGTAGCATTTGATGTGTTGCTTGCATAACAATGCAATAGAAATTACATATATCTCTATATAGTACATACATATGTACATACATACATATATGTTTAAGTAAATAAAAGTAAAATATCAGTAATTACCTAAAACTCTTGAGCTACATGAATGCAACTTTATGTAATGAGAAGTTAACTTTTGAAAAGAATAACAATTATATTTAAAATTAATTATACCAAAAAAAATAGAAAATATACATAAATTTGTTTGTAAAGCCTTTAGAAAAGAGACATACTTACATACAGTGACGAACAAAAGTATTGGCACAGAGAATTTTACGTAAAGTCCCTACGCAAAGTTTTTTATTCTATTTTTCGCAATTTTTTATAAAAACATACATAGTTAATACCATATACATAGAGTATTTACATTGAACATTTACATAGATAAATTAACAATTTGTGGTATTTTTATTAATAGTTTAAGCTATAATTATTAAAATAAATTTTAAATAATTTCTAAATGAAAAATTTGTATGAAAATTTTATTTTATGAAACATTTTTAACTCATATTATTTCTAATGAAAAATACTTTACTAATATTTTATGTCTGTTTTTGGTAAAATTTTGAGCTTAAAATATTTTTGGGTTATCGGGCTTGAGGTTAATCGCTTCAAATTAAAAAAAAAGTAAATATTGATATTTAATATACAGTAACGAACAAAGGTATTGACACAGAGAATTTTTCTTAAGGTATGCAAAGTTTTTTATTCTGGTTTCTTTTCGCTAATTTTTAATAAAATTATACATAGCTTATACTACAATAAAAAATATAAAACACGAAATCTCTAGTCTTTGTGCAAAGCTCAGGAAACTGCAATAAATCTAAATACTATTTTGCAACTTTCAAATCAGAATTTTTAGAAAAAATTAATTTTAGCTTAAAATAGTGCAAGCTTAAAGTGGCTAAAAAATCACGTTGATTTTTGGCGATTGCAAATTTATTAAATTTTCCTGAGTTTTCCACAAATTTTAGATATTTTATTTCTGTTTTTTTTGTTGCA